CCAACGGTGAAAACCGCAGGTCGTTAGCTCTTTTGGTTAAAAAGTTATTCAAAAGATATCGGCGGACACTAAATTTTGGCGGCGATAATAAGACAGATCAAAAGAGAGCAGAGCCCCATTATTATCGCCCTGTTTAGCCAATAAAAAAATAGGAAGGAAAGTAGCGAAAAAGAATGCAAATACATAATAAAAAACAGAGAAAAAAAACATAAAGGGAACAAACAAATGGCAGAAGAAAGGAAGGAGAGGATCGAGTGTGCTAAGAGATGCAGACCAAACTTTTACATCGTAAACCTTTTAGTTGCGACCCATCGTTTGCAGAATGTATTTTGTGGGAACATTTGTCTGCAAGAAATTCCCAAACAAAAATGCCTAGTTAGCTAGCTCCAACCTAGTAGTGAACCGAGCACTAGGTTATCATAATCGAGTAGGAGCGGGAGGTTGACAACTATGTTAACCGGCCGGTTAAGCTAGCTCCGAAGACGAAATATATTTAATAAGAGGATGATTGTCAAGTAGGTTAACCGAGTGGTTGGAGAGCCCGGTTAAACGGACATTTTAAGCTACCTTAAAGAATAAGAAAAAAAGAATTTGTTCGTAACGAGAATCCAACTCACTGACTAAGGCACTATCAGAATTGTGATCAGTACTGTTTTAGCGTAGAGCTTTCGGTCTAATTCGGCCTGATGAATGACGCATCAGGTTAGCACTTGGTTGGCTTAGAGTATGCTAAGAATAAAAAGAATTCTACATCATCTTCTTTCTCTGAGCAATATATCTTAATGAATGTAACTCATGGTATCTTACAGCGATGAGCGGAACGTACCGGATTCCGTAGCATACCGCGGTACGAAACGACGCAACTTTTCATGCATACCGTACGATACGACTTGTTATACTTAGGGAACATCATTGCTGTTTCCTTGATTAAAAAGCACAATGTTTCATAAATGTCTCATCTTGACATGTACTCTACTGGTATTCTATTGGTAGCTAGTAACCCTTTCTACAATTATTTAGCTCTTTTCGTACACTACTTACTCATGATAGAGCGAAAAAGTGTCTGTTCATCTTGATTCTATACGTAAACGGAAGTTCAACTACAGTCTGCTTACTTTTCTTCTTGTACTAAAAATCACACATCTAAATTTCTTACTGCCCAGGTGAACTTACACGCTCATGGCCACGCTAGATTGCCACGACAGGACACGTTACGTGGCCGTGGGTGTGGCCATGCGTGTGGCAAAGCCACGCCATGTGACTTGTAAAAGCTCTGGCGTGGCCACACTGTGTGGCCATCCTGTGGGAGGTTCAATTTATATACTTGCTGTAGCCACGTCATGGATAAACGTAGGGCCACATCACGCCAAACATGGCCACTCCATGTCAGGCATGGCCACGCCAAGGATAGAGCGTGACAGTCGATCTGGGTAGTGATTTAAAAGATAAAAGATTAGAGTTTAGAATTTTAAGAAACGATAATGTGAAATCCTCAAAGACATGGAAAACCGTTGGGTTACCAGCTGAAACTCTTGATGATGGGTCAGAAAGATTATTATTGGTTTTGCTTTTCTGTTTTAATGAAATCACTCAATGAAAGTAACGGTAACTGAAAAAAATATGAAAATCTGGGCATTTCAGATTTTTCCTCTAACGGCGCAGCAGGTTATGGGATGAGAATCCTACCGCACGGTACGGTACAGAACTGACCGACCTTTTAGACTCTCACATACGGTACGGTGTGACGGATTGAGATGTCGACCAGGTAGCTCAGTGGTTAGAGCATAGACACGGAATGTCAAGGTCCTGGGTTCGAATCCCACTCTGGTCACACATTTTTCCTTCACATACGGTACAACAAAAAGCTTTATTTCCCCCACCTCTGGTACCTTATCTATATGTCTGATGATTAGTTACTAGAACAACAGATTCACTGTGGTAAACCTTGAAATAAGAACAGCTAACTAAATAATTTTCGCCTCTTCCTGCATATTGGTGGGATATTTCTCAGATTTGGGTAATAGAAACGCACATGTCAAGAATAATCTGAAAAATATTCTGACCTGAACTTTTGTATTCATTTAGTTTCACTGTTGTCTATGTTGTGATGAAGTGGAAGTCAAAAGGTCACTTTTATACGAGAGTATGTAATGTCTCTTTCATTCAGAATATTTCAGTTAAAAAAGGAAAATTATCAGATCTGCATCGAATGCATTTTCAGTTTTTTCGTTTAGTTGTCTTTATCCACTTCATAACCATAACAGACTAGATGAAGTCTATATATTTTCTCGTTTTTCCAATCGTTTTTTCTCACTTTTTTTCTCTCTTGATACAATGGGGAGAACAGAATGATGTGGGAGAAATAAAGAAAGAAAATGAGTTAGAAAACACATCAGACAATTTTTCTCGCAAGGTCACAATATAGTGGAAGCTTCTTTTAGTATTTGTTGTGTTTAAGTAACGAGAAAAAATGGCGGAATGAATTAATAGGCAAATATTTTGATGGAAATGCATGTTATTCAGTGACTTGTTCTATTCACTTCAGAGTCAAATGATATGGCTAAAACTACGCGACAGCCACGAGCATCGTTATCACCAACAGATAATGAATCAGCATTCTTATTCCTCGGTCTATTCGCAATATGTCTTTTCCCAGGGTTATTATGCCTCATGCCTCTTCTATTTCAAAACAAAAAAGGTACATAGACAAGATGTCTTCAAGATCAATCAACTTTTACATGTTTGAATCTAGGCGATATGGGAAAACAACCAAGACGGAATCGTCGATGCCACAAAAACTGTATGTGTCACCTACACAAGGATGAAGTCGAAGATGTGCGACGTGAGTTGTTCAAATAGAAAGAAAGCATCTTAAAAAGTGTTCTCTTTTCTTATATGTAAAGGTTTTCCATTGGTGCTGGACGATATAAATCATTTACAAAATCAAATTGAAAAATTAGAAAACAAGACAAATGATTTGAAACAAAAACTTCAGCAGTTAGAACAGACACATGATGACAGCAACTGTATCAAAACGCAACATCTGATTTAAAGTGGCTTTTATGTACATTATTCATTTATCAGAATATCCTGGTAACTGGTTGTCGTTTTATTTTACAAACAATTGTAGTGAATGTTTTAGTGACATGTTTCTGTTGTAAATAAATAAAGTATTTTGCCACCAAATATAAGTACTCATGGCATAGTGTTTCGAATCACTAACAGAAATTGAACTGAACAATAAGACGGAGACATAAAGATGATGATGAACTTTTCATTAATCTCTTTCTCTATGCAATGTATCTCATTAAAAATAACTTATTAGTTTATTTGTTCTTAATTGTTGAATTATTAAGCGTTTCTTTTGTTAATTTTATCTTTCTGTCAGCTGCTCTTACTATCAAGCGTTTGTGGACAATATCGATGTTGCTGTTGCTTTTTATTTGATTATATATTATGAGGAAATGCTGCAAGACATTTTTCTCTCATAATTTTAATGCCTTATCTTAATCTTCATCGGCTAGTTTATTTCTAGCCATTGATTCTATAGCACGTACATAATATCTGGACATTTTATATACCATATTGTACGACCACGATCTCCAAATGATTTCCGATCTGGTAAACATTTTAATGATTTATTTTTTGTAGCTTCTACTGCATTATTTTATTTGCTACATTTAGGTTTTTCGTTGGTGGCAATGTTGATTCTATTGGCTTCGATACGTCCTCATACCCTTGACATAACCTTTTCAATTTTAATAAATGCGTTAAAACTTTTTTTAACATGACTGACGTATTCTTCTTTATGAACTACATATACCTAAACAAAAGCAAATCACCCACAAAGAACCATATCTAGCTAAAGAAAAATTTTACTTATCTGAAGTTGATTAAGACGAATAGTTCGAAATTAATGTTACGACCCATGAATGGCTGTATATTTCGATTACTTATCTCTAAAAGAGAAACACATATAAGGAAATCATCTTCTATTTTAGAAACAGAGCATTTACCTGTGTTGCAAAGAATCACTGGGCAATATCATAATCTGAAAAGAAATAGAAACGCAATTAGAAAGTGCGTAACGGCTAGAAATGACATCATCAAAAAAATGTTTACATTTTTTGAGGAACTGTCGAAGTTGATGTTGCCGTATTCAATATCACACCGTCATCTCTAGACAGTATGTGTTATGAATGATGCAGTTACTCTTTACGATTAAGTGGAAAGTATACTAAATCGTAAATAAAGTCATATTAAGGGATAGTACTTCACTCACCACACAGATGCTTCTCACTTAGGCCCTTCTCTTGCCAATCAGCTAAAAACCGAATTTTTAAAATATACTCATAATCAATCTCATCATGAATATTGTTTTCATCAAATGTCGCAATTCATTTTCCTCTTTTCAGTGCAAACTGTAGTTAGTTTGCACGAGAAATCTCGTCCTATACCAAAAATTTTTTATTCAATTGGAAATAATTGACTAAATCGTCACACTCTCGATATCGGCCATTTAACCCTTTTCTCTTCAAAAAACTGTAATATTGCCTAACTGTTATATTTACCCTTCTGCTGCGCAGCCACCCATGAGACGAACACACAGCTTCGTAAATCTTTCTTTCTATTTCATTTTCTAATTGATGCGCCATCAATTTTCTTTCTTTAGCTGTTGCTGTAGGTACGGATGCTGCCAGCTGTTTTGGTGGGAGGGATGCAATATCAGCACACTGCAGCATGCGGACATAGAAGCCTGTTGGAGTATTTTTTTGATGAAGTCTCCTGGTAATGGTCATTATGAGAAAATCAGCCGGAAAACTGCATCTGAAAATAAACACAAATGGACTGTATGGATGTCAGTGAGAATATGGGTCTTTTACAGGTTCTTCAGTATGTATGATTTATTTCCAAGAGAAGGTAACATTTTTCAGGAACAAATTGAGATCGTATTTAAAACTCCATACATTAAAAAGTTTTCTCTGCTGAAAGATATGGAAAAAAAGTTTCAAATAGAAAAATTAATGTTAGTAAGCTTAGAGGGGCACATTGTAAAGACTTAAGGCTATTTCAGGAAAGATAATTGGAGTGATGCGAGCGGTTCCACAAGGTAGAAAATACTTGACTCTATCAGACAACATCTTTAGCTGCAACTGGAAAACTTAGTAATGAACAAGATAGCCATATCCATAAGAGTAAATAAAAGCAAAGAGAAAACCGAGAAAATATAATTAATTAGAATAAATGATGTCTCAAAATACATTATTTTGCAAAAATAATTCATCTATTTTCAAAACAGTTTTTATTTAAATTGGAGCAAGTTTACAATATGCTTTTACAATATTGGAAACCAGTATTTCATACTCCTTTTATGTTCCATTTCATAACTTTCATCTATGCTTTTGTGTTAACCCACATTGACTAAGATAAGAGCATATAGTTTTGGGCTGCACCAAATTACACGCTTTAAATGCCAATTGTTTATTTTTTTATCTGTAGCATGAGATATTGAACGATAAATAGCTTTCATTTCTCTGAAGAAACTATTTACATGGTTGAAATGAAACAATTGGCATTAAAAGCCTATAATTTGGCGCACCCAAAAACTATATGCTCTTATTTTAGTTAATGTGGGTTAACAAAAAAGCTTAGAGGAAAGTCATGAAAAGGAACATAAAAAGAGTGTGAAATACTGATTTCAAATATTGTGAAAGCCTATTGTAAACTTACTCCGATTTAAATAGTGTTTTAAAAAGTGATGAATTATTTTTGCAAAACATTGTAAACATTAAACTTTTAAGTTAACAAAAACATTAAATGGTATCTATGCCTTCTTTGTCCATCTGTTCGCATCATCGACATATATCTAAATAGAAACGAAAACACCACAAAGAACGACTCAAAAAACGGCGTAATTACTGTGATAAAAGGTGTAAAACGACCATCGTTTACGGACCGTAATTCGTCATCCCTTTTTACGAGCCGTTTTTAACCGGAACGGAAACGATCGCCGTTTTAGACCGTTTTCGATATAAAAACGGTGGGTACCATTTAGGCCTTATTTTCACCGTTTACGGCAAAATTTGATCAACGACACAAGAGTAAATAAGGTGATAATGTTGACGGCACAAAAGTTCGAATGTAAAAAAAATTATTTTCGCAATTTAAAAATAATCACAGATTTCAGAAAAGTTAGTTATAGACAAGAGAGAAGTGAACGGCACGCAAAAAGATCAGTTAACATACTTGATCTGTTCGATGTCATAAATCGTTAAATTCATCATAACAACTTGATATTGTTGTTGAAGGTCTAAGTGTTATCGGTGATTTGGCTGCTGTTATCGATTATTGTGGTGCTTGCTGTGTATCTTGTTGAGCTGATGCTTGTTGCTGTTTTTTATTTTTCTCGTTCCTTCATCATATAAACGTCGGTTCAATTTTATACATTGGTATAATAACAACAATATCCATCTTCTGAAAGCCGATATTTGACACGCACAGCTTCTGAAAAACAAAAAATCACGCACATTTCCCTGATCTTCAGTTTAGTTAGTCGCACCTTTATCTCTAGTAACAATACAAGAAGGACCTGCTGGCTTGACGAGTTGAGGAAGAAAACGAGATGATACTTGCCCTGCTTCGTTGAAGATGTTCTTCGTAAGCAAGAAATGCCTCAGTATATTTCCAGGTACTGAAGTGATAGTCTTCTAAAACGACGCAATGCCACTATCAACTTATCGTTTAAAATTCGAAAACAACCTTCGTCTAATGTATTCTTTTGATAAAGGTGTGCGGCTTGCGACGGTAAAATACTTAATGCCAATTTATCTTTCGAAAATAAAATACGCAAAAGTTTTCGACTATAATCTCCAGCATCTTGACTAGTAATTTTCAACAAATTTTTATCATTCCATATCTACATAGAAAAGCAGCATAAAGTAGCATGTTAGAAGGACTACTAACAATACATACAATTTCATTCGGATAATTTTCCTTGTCATTTTCGTCACGATAGGCCGACAATTGATCATTTTTCTGAAAAGAAAATGATCCAATGAATCTTTCTTTTTCGAACAAATAAAACACTTACAAACATCGGCGTGGATCCTACATGGCCCGCTATTTTTGTTAATTTTGCTAGTTGTTGTTGAAATGAACGCATCTGACTGATCATTTTCTCTTTGAATATGAATTTAGACGCAACAAAATTAAATGAGATTGTATACATATGACAATGCCTAACGTACCGGGAGCTGGATTAGTATTGCCAATATTCGTATTTAAACCATCATCACTATCGGATAATGGACTAGGTGATCTGGAATCACGATCTAGCATGAACAGCTGACAATCAGACAGTAATAAAAGGGTTCTAAAAACTTCAGTTCGCTCATACCTGTAGTTTCCTCTTGACTTCGACGATACACATGCGTTTTGGCAGGTTGACTACGAACAGCTGTGATATTTGCGCTACTTCGACCATTAACTTCCAGTGACCGATCTGAAACAAAAGCATATTGATAAAATAAATTCGAGAGAAAACGAAATGGACAGATTTCGAAAATCATACCCTGATCACGATAGTGATATGATAGGAATCAAAGATTGTCTTTGTTCGTTGGACGTTTTGAAGTAGCTAAAAAAGATACAACGAAAATACGACACATTATTGTAACTGATAGGAATATATACGTGTACTGAAGCCATCACTGGGACGTTTTAAAAACTCGTTGATAATTGATTGACATGAGATGTGGCGTCTTCTTCTTTTAAAAAGAGTTGTAAACAAAATATGTAAAAGATTTGATTCAGAAATTGTTACCTGCCTCTTCGTCTTCTTGCTGTAATTCTTGCATTTTCAACTTCCATTGTCGTTGAAATTGATCCCGAGTACCTAAAACAATACGAAATTCATAGTTTCTCTGTTAGATCGTTGTTGTCACATCGTTCTAATAAACAAAATCTTATCATATGTAATTATTCGAGCTTCACCTTCAATATTGTTCAATGTAGCTTTATCACGTTTGATTTGTTGAATACTTGTACGTCCAACAATTTGATATTCTTCTGAGTCGTCGTACAAGATTTCTTACATTTACTTTCAACAATAGATAACATGAAATACAGTGCAAGATATATCAGAGAAATCATAATGTTAAAGTTTAATACAAATAGAATAGATAGTGATTAATTTCCGTTTCTAACTGCATGCATACATACTTCATTTAGAATAATTCAGCATTCTTTTTAATTAGTCTGTTTAAAAAAACCTTATTAATTAGAATAATCTATATTCTAGTTCTAGTTTTATTTTTCGACGAAACAGAAATATTAATTAAGCCTTCGACAAAACGGGAACTAACCGAAACAAGAGTTGTCCATTTTTACGATATATTCGATAAAAGAAAAAAGTTTTAAACTGTTTCTAGAACATGATGACTAATGGTTTTTATTTGTTTTCATTGAGTAATGTTTTATTTACAAATGTTATTTATCTTAACAGTCATACTATTTGAAGAAAAATATATAAAAAGCTTTTGTGATATTTCTTATCATATGCATGTGTTTTTATTTTGAGAAAGAATTATTGTTAAAATTAATACGCAAAAAAGAAAAAGATTATGGGTGCTAATGTGGTCAAAGGTGATAGCCTTGCGCACGATGGTAGCCTTGCATTTATAACCGGTAGTACCTGTGAAGGACAGGCTTATGCCAGACAGTTAGCTAAACAAAATATTCAAGACATTGACATAATGATCGTTGAAGGAATAGTAGACAACAAAAATTCTCTTATTCCAACAGGTCTATCTGGTTTTGTTCAGATTGAATCCATAGGTGTTACGCCAAATGGTACTAATCAATTTCAATCAAAGATAAATCGAAACGGTATTCTATGCATCGATGGTAAGGCTATGAAAGAGAAGTATCGTCAAATGGAAAAAACTGAAAACGTTGGTTTATATGAGTCCAGATTCGACTGCCATACAAATGATGATTCGTCGAATGCGAGTGTTCAAGTTACTCATCAAATCCAATGGATCGATAATGCCAAACAATTTGAAAACGTAATAAAAATAGCGTCACAACAACGAAATCTATCAAATTTTTCTCAATTGAAAATTAATTATTGTAAATTTTGTATGAATATTCGATCTTTTCTTGGTCGTGCTATTTCAATTCATTCTCAATTTTCTTTATTGCCTATTGAGAAAGACGTTCAAGATGTATGCATTTTAGCTGGTCGATGTTACGATTACCAACTGCCACAAGTACTTTTAGTCAGATCATTGGCATTACTCGACTTTTACGATAAACATAAACATATTGCAAGTACAACATTGTCAATAGATAATGCTAAATATATTGAAAAAAATAAATATATCTGAATCTGTATGCCAACAGATTCAGATTTTGTACCAGCGTTGCAATTAAAATTTTGGCCAGATAATGTTCAACCGTTTTTCGAACGAATAAAACAAAATCGTCCACATTTACATGATTTAATATTGAGTAAAACGTCAATGCATGTTGTTACCAAATGGTCAAAGAAAACGTGTATTGATGAACAAGATTTAGAATTCCGCTATTCGTTTTCAGCTGTGGAAATTTTACTTGCAAAACATCGTACACCCAATGAACAAGTCCTAAATGGTATTGCAAGAAGTATTTATTATAAATATTTAAAAGAAATACCGCCAGTATTACCATCTTATTTCATTAAAACAAGTGTTTTGTGGATGTGTGAAACAATGAATCTCAACGATTTACAAGAAACATCACTAAGTCTAGCTCAAAAATGGATTAAATATGTCGTAGATATATTGAATTCTGGTAAATGTGCGCACTATTTTATTGATGATTTCAATATTTTTGAACTATATACGCCTGAAACTTTGGAAAAAACTAAACATATTCTTCTCAATGAAGTAAAACTCGATGAAATAATCGAAACACACATGTATACAGCTCAAAACCAACAAACATCTTTTGATACATTCAAATTAAATAAACGAAATTATGTATTTGGTTTGAAAGTAAAAGACGTTTTACCTCTGATCAACGATTATCGTACACTGAAAGAAGATTGGATTGGCCTATTCACGGAGATTAAACATCCAAATAAAGAGTTAAGCGAAGCACTTGATATCTTATCTAGCCTAAGAAGGTTTGATGGGGAAAAAATGGAAAATTGGAAAACATTTCGAGAATTATTTTTGGATCACAATGACTCTTCTGAATATGCTGAACCTATTTGGAATGACGATGTTGTACAAAACGAAGATCCCATAGGTTTTTGTTCAATGTTGAGCATGATCGGTACAGTTTTACATTTGATACAACAGAATATCGATGATTCACCAAATTTTCTTACACAAAATGTCCAGACAGATGATGTTGATGTTAATAATTATCAAAATGTCTTTCAGCCGATACCATGGTCTGATTTGATGCGTGCAACCAGATCAATTCCACTCGATCAATCAATGTCATCATTTAGGAATCGAACCGTACTCGATGAACATCCAAACGGCCCTGGAGAGCCTGTTGAACAGGACAACTACATGCCCCATTTTAGCATTAAAGATGTATGTCAAATCGCACCCGATAAAAACATGACATTTAATGAAGTAGCAAATTATTACAAAGATTATGCAAATGAAGAACTCTTCAAACTAGCACGGGCTGTTGAATTGTCTATGAAGGACTATTAGGCAATTTGCTTTTTCAACACATTGATATAAACGATTACTGTTTACTTAATCGATTGTTCCAAACCTGATTTTTCATTGTTTTTGACATCATACTTTATTTCTTGTGCTAGCTAGTACATACCAGTAGTAGGTCATTTTTTCTTCACGTCGATGTTTCCTAATGAATTGATAAACAAATAAAAATCGCGTGAAACAACTTTCAACGCATGACTCTCAGGAGAATATGGCAATAAATGTTCACATGATGATCCGAATCGTGAATATCATTTGTCGATATAGTCACAGTTAGGTATGCACCAGTTTTTCAATGATATATCATCGAGTTTCAGACAAATGAAGAAAAAAATCTATCTCGTGAAATAATTTGTCAGATATTGAATGAATGTATAGAAGGCATCATAGATGGAACCGTTCGAAGATCTGACGACTGCGCCCGAAACCGGCCAAAAACGCTTCTATCAGCTCGAACCACCGGTTGACTAATAAAACTTTTGTTATTTCGGTTAGTTTTCGATCGGTCAACCGGCTGATTTGGCTAAAAAATTTTGTCGTACGTGAGTGCAAAATTTTTAAATGGTAAATAAAGTGATATATTCTTGTCGTTCCGTATTCCAGTTGTTTAAAAATAGTTTCATTGATATTTTGATAATTAAGGTCGTGTTTGACCGGTATCTAGCGTTTGGTTGGGGATGACCGTGATCCTTGCCCCAAAAAATTTTTTGCTATGGCCATTACCGTGATTGTGATTCTAGGTTTCAAGACTGCTGTGATGAAAAAAGTTTTTTTTCAATTAGCAAAGACTGACTTCTGAACAAAAAATAGTTTTTTGGCAATTATAAGATATTTATCTAATAAGATCGGTATTGCCAGATGAAGATTTTTAAATAAAGTTTTCTACATCACATGTTGTTAAATCTTATTTGTAGCGTTAAAATTAATTTGTCTAATTAGAGGTGATAGGACTTTAGTTAATTTTATGATCAATCATTTGCTGTTAAAAGTTGCTCGGCATTACGTGCTACTGACCTAGTCGTGTTAATGTTACAAATATCACAATTCATGATAAAACGACATCTTTATTAAACAAATAACGATATCTTGTTTACAGTTTCATATGTGCGGCGTGCCCAGCTAACGGTCCATCAACGGATGAGAAGGTTCGAATTTTTCTTTTAACTTGACAAAAGCTTAAAAATACATCATTAGACACAGTTTTTCACCGTGATTACAAATCTGAACTCAAAAACAAATGAAAGTCAAATCTTCGCGGTGAAAATTTAAATTTTTAAATTTTTAAATTTTAAATTTAATTTCCTGACCTGGATATTTTTTCCAAAAATTCTGGGAAACTATACCGTCGGATAGAGAATCAAATCCTCTACCAAAGGGCTCATTTGTTTTGACGTTTAGACGCCAAATTTTTATTTTCTAAAAACAATTTTGTCGCTTATTTTGTGAGCAATTTTATGCCCCTTTAATCTAACTTTGCAAAATTTATTTTTGGCTGCATGGAATGAAGGGCACCTCAAACTATCTATCTATGTGCAAATCAAAGCTTGCTAAGTAGTTCTGTGGCAGAAAAAATAAATACCAAACCATCTGCAAAGAAAAGCAAAAAAACGGTGAAATTCCGTAACGGCCTCTATTTTGACTATAACTTTTGATCCCTTGTTCAATCAAGCTCAAATTATTTTTGGTAGTAGAACTCCCTAATATCCATCATTGGTATAAATTTCACTGATAAATGTTGCTTCTTTGCTGAGATAAGGGGCACAGAAGACGAAATGAAATGGCCAAGCCGTGTGAACATATTGAACCTCATACTGACCACCACAGTTACCAGTGACACCTCTGTGACAAGTGGTGTTCGAATTAAAAGGAATCACTAGCAAATATTTGTTCGTCTCAAGTTCGTGACTAGCCTTAATCACGATCGTTACTATGATCGTTCATTACCAGAGAAAATTTTTCGTGATCGTGAAGAAAGAAAATTTTTTTGTCGTGATCATGACCAAAAAAGCTGATCACATCGATCTCTACGTATGGCATCTAAATCGTCGTTTTTCTTTTTTGGGTTGACACCTCAAAATTCAAATGTATCCACTCTTTTGGATACGAACTGGTAAGGAGTAAAGTCTTGTGTATATTGTAATGAAAACTGTTAGCTTGTATCGCACTTCAAGCAAAAGATATTCACGAAATTCAAAAAAATTGCGCAGTAAAAGATGATGATTAGTTGTGAACAACGATCATTAATTGTAAAAATAAAAAGCATGCAATGAAACAACAATCTTGAATAAAACAAATATCGTATACATATTGCTTAATCATGCTCTTGTTGTAATTTTCTTTTTTCTTTTATCAGAATAATATCTTCTGTTCGAACAATATCCAAATGTTCTTTTGGTAAAAATTGTTTATACATAATTAATGCTCTTTCATAATATTCAAGTGCAATATTTAAATTATTCATTTTTTCATATACATCAGCTGTATTATTTAGACTAAAAGCAAGACTTGGATGACCTAATGGAAAAAGTTTTTCAGTTATATTCAATGATTTCAATTGATATTCTAATGCTCTTTCATATTGACCTTGATCATTTAGTATATTACCTATTGTGGTATAGGCTAATGATCGTCGTTCACTGTCAGGTAAATAATATTGTTCTTCAATTTTTCAGGCTTTGTCCATGTATTCTAATGCCATATTATATTCACCTTTTGCCTGATAAACAAGAGCTATATTATGGTAACTATCCGACCAATCTTTTCGTTGTACCAATACAACTATAAATTTCAGCTATATCCCCATCCTTTGGATTAGCTAAAAGATTTTCGAAATATTCTTGTGATTTATCATACTTACGAATTTCACTTAAAAGTTTATCAAACATTATTTTAGAACTTGATTCATTCATTTCTTTTCTATTTGTTTCAATATGATCATTCGCAATCTTTGAGTTTTTATCCGTTGTTTTTAATTTTACAATCCACATATTTAATGTTTCATCATGCTTAATAGATACAACTTCAAATGTTGCACCTATTTCGAACAAAACCTCATCTTCATCTGGTATATCACTAAATCTTGCTATATGAGCAAAAATAACTGCATCATTTAATTCAATTAAATTGCATTCAATCTCATAGATGACAGCTTGTTTTTTTGTATCCGTTGATCTACCAGGCAAGAGGAAGGCAGTTTCTTTCGAAAGACTAGTTGAAAAAAATCCATCTGTTGATATTAGTTGATTTTTATGATTTTTCCGTTTTTCTAATTCATCATCTCGCAATCGTCCGCCATGGTAAACAGTTAAAATATCAAAATTTTCTTTTATAATTTGATATTCTTTTTTTAAATTTTCACATAAATCTGATATAAAATATCGAAATATATATAACTGCTCAATATTTTCTGTTCATAATGCTTTATTTATTAACTTATAAATAAATGGCGGTTTTGTATACCATTTTATAGCATCTCCAAGTTTATATGTTTGTTTGAATTCTTCAATAAATTTTATTTGTGAAGATTACCATGATAGTATTCAAGACATTTTTCAACAAGTTCTTGTTTAGCTTGATTATCAACAGGTATTCTTGTAATAACGTCTTTAAATAAGAGTAACCACAAAAATGAGGCCGGTTCATTAAATAAATCTCGAATAGAGTTCTGTTTTGTTTTATCATAAAAAGTAAATGTTGCCATATGTTTTTCAACAAGATATACGTTTTTTCGGATAGAATCAATTAATTCTTGTTGTTGTATATAAACACTAATAATTTTTGAATAATCTTTTATTAAATATTCATATGGTTTTTGTTTTAAACAAAACAAATAAATCGAATCAATTTGTTTTTGTTGATGAATTAAGGGTAATAAATGAATAGCACATTTATCATAAGTAATTAAAAATAATTTTTCATTTTCAATTGATTTTATATAATCTATGCATTTTTTTCGTTGGAAAAAAATCAAATCAAATCATTACTTTCTTTTAATAACTCCATAGTGTGATGTATATCTTCATTATCATTATCATCATCAGTATCTAGATGAATATTTGTATCATACCAGATTAATGTTATACCTTTCATATTTATAGGAAGTTGTTCTTGATCATCATTTGGATGATTTCGAATCAAACTATGTTTTTCGTTCACTTTCTGTTTTCGTTTTTTTGTCGTTTTACATCCCATGATTGATCTAAAATTATATTAATAGATATGACCTAATTGCACTGATATAGCACACCATTTTAGGAAGAAATGTTCAAAAAAACGTAAAGCCCCAGATAAAAAAATCTGAATCGTGCATACGGTACGAAGCGACACTTCGGCGATATGGTTGTAAAAATGCTATTATCGAAGAAACAACTGTGAACTCCGATATTTTCTGAATACAACAGAAACGAAAGAGCTCCAGATCTGGCGTTTGCACTGTTTATCAGAGAAATATTTGCTCTATCAATTGGTATGATGGAACTTGAAATCCATGGATTTTCAGGTGGGGTACTTGACAGATGAATAAATAAAAGGCTCTTGATTCATGATATCCTCTGGCGATAACGTTTTTTTGCATCCGTCATATGTGGTTTACCGTAAAGTATTGAAAACGGCCTAAAAACGATCCGTTAACTGGCCATTAATGGCCTGTTTATGGTTAAAAGCATCTGTAATCATGTATGTGAAGAACGGCCTAAAAATGGTCCGTTAACGGGCTCTTAACGGTCCGTTAATGGCCAACGTCTGTATGAATAATACATGTGATAGGGAGATATTATGAAATGTTCGGAGAACGATCGAAATTGTCTAGATATAGACAAACGCTATATAATGTAGGTGTGTTATGATGGAATTGCAATGAAGTGTACCGAAAACGGCGCGAAATTCATCCACACTTAACCAAAACAAACGTTTAAAAAACGGCCAGTTGATGGTCAGTTTCTCTGCGGCACGTTAGAATTTATTTCCACTTCAGCAAACTATCATTACTATACTATATATGGAAATTTGACAAACGCTGTGTGTGATCAAAACGATTCTTCAGAGATTATTTTATTCTTGAATACTATTCAAAACAACGCATGCAAATGAATCTGTGTCACCGACAAGTGGTTTCATACTATAACGTTATACAAACAAAAGAAACCCAATCTAACCCAAACAAAAAGAAAAGCACCAAATAAAAACAAGGACAGCTTCGTCCTTCTCCTTTCTTATTTTTCTCCCCCCTTTTTCGACAACACACCACGTATATATATATATTTCGAATGGTGTGGGTGTAGTTGTAGGAAGTGATGAGATAAATCAATAGGAGGCGTATGATGTAGAATCGCTCTCTTACGGATGACGTAAGTAGTGATGAGATAAGTGAATGGGAAGAGGATGAGGAGAATAGAATTCTTGAGGGCAATAGCGGGAAGTGTAGCGCTGGTAGCTGTTGTTGGTGAAGCGACAGGATGGCGGCAAAAAGTGTCGATATTGTACTGGATGCTAATGTCGACGCTGTTGATAATGCCATGGCTGATGCAGATGTTGTTGGTGGAGCCTCAAGTAGAGTTAGTTCCTAGTTGAGCCGACATTGTCGTTTGGTACGAATAGAGTGGATGACTATGACGAAGATTGTTGGTTGATAGCCTAATGTCGTTGTCCAGGTTGAGTTGGTTGGTGCTGGCCGATTATATGAGGGGTATAACCGTGGCACACTACTTGGAGGCGGTAAAACGGAGGGATTTTGGCGACTACCCGAAGTCCTGGCCATCGTGGCCGATGGATTCCATGATGCTGTGAAGAGAAATGGTTCCTCTCCAGATGTAACTTGTGTAATAATCGGCATTGGAGAGCGTGTTAAAGCGCATCCAGAATGAGATGAGAATGTGCGGAGTGCTATACGCGCTAGCGGTTCTTGACGTTTATATTGTTGACGATGATTATTAAACCAAACTCTTAGACGATCTGGCGCGACACCGATTTCTGTTGATAGTTGTTGAATCATTTTGGAGGATGGATAATGACGAATGCGAAACGCTTGATAAAGCACATCGAGATGCTTATGTGCCAACAGTTTTCCGCTGATCAGATGACCTTAAACGTTGTGACAAGTTTTTTGTTTTTTCCTAGCGGTTTTCGGTGATGAAATGGTTCTAACATTCACAATTTTTACTATTTCATTGGAAAATGCGTCGTGTGACACAAGGGTAAAAGGAAAAGTCGCTCAGGAGCTCGAGGCCTAAGCTAGCAGCAGTACTGCAGGCTGACAGCTTTGTAATGTATAATGTACGCCTTTCGCAATAGGAAACACAGCTAGGAAAACGTAAAAAATTTGTCCTAACGTTTAAGGTCATCCGATCAGCGAAAAACTATTGGCACACATGCATCTCGATGCGCTTTATACAATGGCGCTTGAATTAGGCCTCTGGCTTAAAAACTGAAGGTTTTATAGGTTTTCTAAATTTTGGCCAAAAGGCCCTAAAGGCTTTTGAGAAAATCTTTTGATACAAACGTTTTGCTGAAAACTCCGCAACTCCCTATGTTTGTCTAGTTTTCAATTTCCTATCGAATGCCGTTTGACCGAGGCCTCCATCCCTTTTCAGAGTTTAGTTATTTGAAAAGTTCAAATTTTGAAATTTAAAATTTAATTTAAAAGTTTTAATTCAGAGTTGGAGACTCGTTTTCAAAACGTAGCTCATTGTTTGCTGAATGCAGTCATGTAATTAGAAATGCTCCATCGTTTGCTGGATTTTCTAGAAAAATTTTTTATTCGAAACCCGTATGTCGAAAACCTACTTGCCAGCATTTTTGAGAAAAGTGTCCGCTACGCAAAAGAACGAGCATGGGTCTGAAACCATTAAGTACCAGGTGGCATTAAAGTTGGTCAAGACAGGAAAGAGTTATGCTAGACCAACTTTCGCATCTAACACGCCTATCGTCGATAAAAAAGACCGCATCTTTCCATCACGAACGTCATTTTGAAAATCTTCGTAATCGACCATGCTGAATCTCACGGCAATGTTTGCTTTTAGGAAAGAGGTCAAAAATCTGGTGAAAACTGAGTTTTACAAAAACTGGGATTTCACGATTGTTTTCAACTAATATTAAAAAATCTACAATTCACTCAACAAACACCAGCACGAGCTCAGAGCTTCGGGGTATGGCTACATTTATATGGTGAACGTAATTATATCATCAAAAAAGCCCAAAACCGTATTTGTCCTCAAACATTTTTAGTAGTGTAGGATAGTATTATAGATGGATATTAGTAGATGGAGTTTCTGGTATTGATATCTAGCTCTTACCGCTGTTAGGGTATTTACGAGGGATGCTGGTAAGTGCATTTAAATGATATTTTGCTAATCAGAATTTCATGTGCTTTCTTTCGAGGATAATAGCGGAATTTGTAAACAATGTGTGTTTAATGTCGGTTACGAAAGGATTTCTGAAATATGTTTGAGGACAAATATGGTTTTGGACTTTTTGATGATATAATTACGTTCACCATATAAATTTAGCCATACCCCGAAGCTCTGAGCTCGTGCTGGTGTTTGTTGAGTGAATTATAAATTTTTTAATATTAGGTGAAAACAATCTTGAAATCCTAGTTTTTGTAAAACTCAGTTTTCATCAGATGTTTGAACTCTTTCTTAAAAGCAAGCATTGGCATGAGATTCAGCGTGGTCGATTAGGAAGATTTTCAGAATGAGATTCGTGATGGATAGATGCGGTTTTTTTTATCGACGATAGGCGTGTTAGATGCGAAAGTTGGTCTAGCATAACTCTTTCCTGTCTTGACCAACTTTAATGCCACCTGGT